CCAAGATCAAGCTCAACATCTCCTCTCTGCTGACAGAGACAGATATCAAAAGATGGTGCTGCTTGAAGCCAACAACAAAGACATCTTCTCTGCCATTCAGAAGCAGCAAGGTCTAATAGAAGGCCTTACTTCTGTCACTCAGACTCTACCAGAGGCCCTTGAGCAGATAGCCTCCTCTCAGGCCTCAGAATTTCAGAAGATCAGCATGATGATAGAGGACCTACATGATGCCAAAAAGGGGGAAGAGGACCCTCAACAAACTAGGCCTCGATCCAACAGAACTCCTGCTAGAACACCATCCTCTGTTGAACCTATAGTAGATCCTGCCCCTTACTTTGAAGCTGCCTTACAGAAGAAGAGAGCAGCAGGTATACCTAGACCCCCATCTCCAGCAAAGAAAGGCACTAAGAAGAAGAAAATCTTTAGCTTCACTGAATGGAGATTGGGAGGATCCCAGAGAATTGACAGAGCTCAATTTGAAGAAATGAAGGTAAAAATGACTCTCACCCAACAACAGAACCTCTATTTGGATAAAGATGGTGTTGTGCGAGTCAGGTATGGGGGATCCTTAGAAGAAGCTGAAGAATGGTACAAGAAAAATATTGTCCCTGGCAAGACAATACATGAAGGTGTTCTCAGCTATCTGGACTGCAAACTTTCTCCCATATGGGCATCTTATCAAAGCTATGGAAATCTATCCAAGATCAGAGCAGAAATCAATGAAGAGCTGCTAAGGCTTCAAAGATTGGAGTAAGAAGCTCTGCAAGCAGCTAATTTGCAGAATGTGTAAGAAATATCTCTGTAAAACATATTTAATGATATCACATCTCTGCCTCCTCACTTTGAAAGGCTTTTCCTCATTTCCTATCTCTTTGCTTTCTGTCTGTGTTTGCCTTTTTTAATTTAATTTCTGCTATCTGAATGTACTGCACTCTTACTATTTTCCTATGCCAAGTTGCCCACCAAGATTTTAATGGAAGTTTTTAAACTTTAATTCTTTATGGTGAAGGCACTTCTCTGGAAATAGTTAAAGGGTTTTGGCATCATCAAAAAGGGGGAAATTGTAAGGAATATTTGTATTTAGATTTTGATGATGCTAGATTAATTAGGACTTTAGAGTACCCCTCTTTAGACTTAATGTATTAGAATTTTCATTTGTAAAGTTCTTAGTTTAATCGAGTTGGCAGAAAGCCTCCAGAGCAGAAGACCTTCTGAGCAGAAGGGCTCCAAGGGCAGAAGACCCTTTTTAAGGCATTGTTGAACAGAGGACCTTTGGGTCTCTGCTTCAGAACAGAAAGACCTCAGGGTCTCTGTTAGCCTTTACTCTGACAGAAACCCTCATGGTTTCTGTTGGAGATACTCTCAACAGAAGTGCTCCAGACCTTCTCTGATAAACTCTCTGTTAAAGACACCAGAAGGCCTGACACTTAGAAGAATTCCACCAAGCCGGGAAATCAACTGAAAGATTCCTTCAACGGCTAGGAGACTTGAACGGAAACGCTACAGTGCACGCATTAAATGCACATTTAATGCTCCCCATGCTCCGTAGAGTAATTACAGATGATTGGCCGCAATGTCAGAATTACTTTATCCCAAAATAGTAACCCGCCAACTTTACCGGGTCCTAGTGGTCAAGTCAACTGCTCGCTCATTTAATGCAGTTGTCCTCCTTCCCCTCCAACGGGAAGACAACCTCAGTATAAAAGATACACTACGAAGAACAACCGGATAACTTTGCAATTTTGCTAACCTTTGCTACAACTCTGCATACAAGAAATTCAAACGCTTAAAAGCAAAAAGCCTCCTTGAGATTAACACTTCATCATCCTATACAAGAGAAGGCAGAAGTTGGAAAAATACTTATTTCCAACTCAAGCAAAGTTCCAAGTGTTCTTCAACTCTTCAAGCTCATCACATACAAACTCTTTGTAACGAAGCAAGTTGGAGGAACCCCTGTTCTAAACAGAACCTCTTCTTTCACAAGAAGGACGTCCAAGTATCTGGAGCTGTGAAGTGGTGATACTTCTGGAAAGCTCAGTGAAAGGACCAGTCTTAGGGAAGCCGGAAATGCATCCAAGAAGACATCTACACTTGAAGAAGACGTGGAGAGCTTCTTAAGTAATAGGGCTAAGGCATTGTAAACGGAAGTTTTTACAGCTTAGTGGAACAGTGGACTAGAGGAATAAGTTGTTCCTTGAACCACTATAAAAAGCCCTGGTGTCATCTACTTACTGCTTTTCATTCATAGTTTTTACTTGAACTGTTTGACTCCAAAGACTTGGTATCTGTGTTCAGCAGAACTGGTCTAGTGAGTTAACAGAAGGCCTATTGCCTTTGCTTCTCAGAGGCTATTAACAGAACTCCCTACCAGAACCCCATCCGCTGCCAGTATGTTCTGCCAACAGAATAGGCTATTCTGTAAAATCTGGTACTTAGCTTAAAAAGCTAAAAACCAATACAGTCTATTCACCCCCCCTCTAGACTGTATCCAGTACAACCGGGACCAACAATTAATAACGAGACGCGTTCATAAATAAAACTTACTACCGAGTTAATATAGAACACGCGCCGTATATTAACTCGACAGTAGCAATAAAATCAAGATGAAAACGATTGAAATTGATAACCTCAACACAAGCGGTTTATTGGTTTAATCAACATAATTAATTCCCCTTAGATTATTAACCATGAGACGCATGCATTGATAATCCAAGTTTACTACTGTGAATGAATCAAATTAATAACAAGCGTATTAATCGATTGACTCTAGTAATAATTAATATATGAAACAAAACTAGTTGATCCTTTAAGTAATGCTCAAAATATTAATATGGAATATGAATATGAAATAATTAATATTCAAGGAAGAAGATTAAAGAAAATAACTCACAACTTACAAATTCATTAAGCTTCAAAGTAGCAAAACCAAGATGGAAGAGTTTAGCTCCTGATTTGGAGACTAAACATGAAGAAAATATAAAGAAAGAGCTTGTCTAAACTGAACTAAGAAGTATATGTGAATTGGTCTAGCTCTTTCTTTGGGAAGGAAGAGGGGTATTTATAGGCTTTTGGAGCATGCAGGGGTGTGTACCTGATCGGGCATCAAAGTCATCCGATTGGGTACCTTAAGTGGCTTCCCGGAAGCTCGAAAAGTTGGACATACCCGATCGGGTATGTCGGTCACCCGATGGGGTATGACACTCGAACTTGGTGAAATACTTTCCTACATGTTGCCTTGTTCCGGATCCGATCCGATTTGATATTTCAACAAGGTACCCGATCGGGTATAGGTCATACCCGACCGGGTACAGACCAAAAATCAGGATCCTCTATTTCTTTTTTGATTTTGTACCTTCCTTCCACTTTTGGGGTTTCACCAACGGTCCCTTGAGTGATCATGGACCTGTTTGAGCTCAGAATAAACCTAATCTAAACATATTACAAATATTTTACAAACTAAACTACTACACCACAAGTGTGTAATTTCCAAAGTAACAATCAATCAAAACTAGTTAAAAACACAAACATAAACATGAAAATTACACGATTATCAGTTACCCCCATATCCAGCGAAGTTGGTGATATTCTTTTTCCTGCCGATCGAGATTCGTAGAGCGTTTTTTTGAATGAAAAGTCCGCTTGGTGTAGCTTCACAAAAGGCCAAGTCCAGAATTAATATGCACTAATTAGTAGTGCATAAATGTATATTTTTATGTTTGATTTGTGTTTATTGTTTACCATTTTTATTAGTTTGTAAACATTTGTTTTATTTGGTTTGTAATTGTTTTTAGCTTCCATTTATAAGTTGTAAAGTAGTGGTAGAGTTTTTGGCAAGGAAAAGGAGGAAAAGTCAAGAGGAATGCTGCCCAGGGACACTTACCCGGTCGGGTAGGAATACTCACCCGGTCAGGTACGATTTAACAAGCGAAAGTGCCTGGAAAATCACGGGACCCGGTCGGGTCCCCTACTTGACCCGGTCGGGTCAGATGTGACTAGGGAAAAAACGACGTGCTGAAACACAAGAACGTGGAAGATTATTTGAATTTGACATTCTCCCCGATCGGGTAGGCACTTGACCCGGTCGGGTACCCGGCCCAAGGTGTTGAAAAACACCTATAAATAGCACACTTTTCCTTCACAAATAATCATCCCTTCTTCCATACTCTTAAGCTCAGTTTAGAATAGCATTTCTTTATATTTTTCTAGCTATGTTTAGTCTCCAAATGAGGAGCTAAACTTCCATTCTTGGTGTTGCTCTTGAAGCTTGTTGATTATAAAAGTTGTGAGTTATTTTCTTAACTTCTTCCCTTGAATATTAATTATTAGTTCTTTCCTTAATACTATCTCTATATTAATGTTGGGGAGTGTTGCTAAGATGACAATTAGTTAACATCTTGACATTAGTTAGAGTAGTATTTTCTTCCTCTATATTAATGTTGGGGAGTGTTGCTAAGATGACAATTAGTTAACATCTTGATATTAATTATAGTAGGATTCATCTCCTTTAATAATATTCTTCCTTGAATATTAATTAATTCCTATTCATATTTCATATTAATATTTTGAACATTACTTAAAGGATCAACTAGTTTGGTTTCATATACTAATTATTACTAGAAACGATCGACGAACCGATGGTTAATCGTTGATGGTTTCACAAGTAAGTAACTTCGGTTTATTAATGCACGGTCGTGGTTGATAAACTTAAGAGGAATTAATTTTGTTGGTTAAACCGAAACCGTTGTGTTGAGGTTATCAATCTCAATTGATTTCATCAAGGAGTTAAGAGATTAAATGCTACTATCAAGTCGGTATATGGCGGTGTTCTATACTTGACTAATAGTAAGAGTTATTAATGAACGGTCGTTGTTAATAACTACCCTCGATGAATTGGATATACTCCTCGATTGAGTATTCGAGAGGGAATAAGTTATAGATATAACAACGATCGACTAAAATATATCAACAAGTGGAAAGTAGCAATGCCAAGTGCTTTTATCTTTGAATTAAAACACATAGGTTGTTCATCTTAGTTTTTAAATTAAATCATTCAATCCCATAACCCCCGTTTTTATTTACTAGTTTCATAAAAAGAGAATTATTCCTTTCCCTGTGAACACGAACTCTACTTCACCTATACTACGTATAAGTATTAGTATCGATTTATTTTGACGCATTGACAAAGTGCTCGTCAAGAATCCTCGCTAAATCGTAGGGGAACCGATCGGGAATTTTTAGCTCTTCCGTTTATAACTTGAATAACATGTTGGAGCGTTACACAAAGCGAAGAGGTTCCATACGGTGACTTGCCGGTCGGGAAAATTTGGACGGCTAGGAAAATCTCGACCTGCGGTCCTTCCGAGCGGGAGATATGAACCCTGACAGGGAAGACATATGGCGGTCTGGGCTGAGTGGCTAGATCCACCACCTGTTGACTCCCTCAGGGCAAGAAACTACCGTTCTTTGGAAACCGGACGGCTTGGTGCGTTGGTTAGTTGTCCGTGCTGGTCAGTGCGGTTGAGCCCGGGCTGCAATCTCCGTCTGGTGGATACCTGGCGAACGGGTCGGGGATACCGAACAGGGGGTGCCGAGTTGGGAAAATGGAGGGAGTGGGTGGCCTTCCCGGCGTCATCACTTTGTTTGGGCCACCCTGGTCCATTCGTTTCAATAAGGATTGCAGTTTGGAAACGAAGACCGGACTGATGGCCCATCATACCACCTTCTGGCTACAGTGGGTTTTAAATTCCAGTTCGGGTTAGAACCTAGAAGTCCTTTGATGAAACAGGGAACATTTATCGGACAGGGGATCATGGTAAGCTGTGGAGTCTGATATTGGCAGGTACGCCCAGGCCGTTTGGGCTACGAACATGATTGCCATGTTCGTACCCTTCTGGCATTCTTTTCTCGGTGCTGCCAGGATGGGGCGGTGATTCTACCGCTCTGAATTGTTTGGTTTAACACCACCGGGGTATGATCAGCCGTTCTCACATGCCTTGCCCTTGGTTCGGGCCACACTTGGATGCGGAGGACGCTCGGCCGAAGACCCTCGTTCGGGCCATGCCCTTGGTTCGGGCCACACTTGGATGCGGAGGACGCTCGGCTGAAGACCCTCGTTCGGCCCATTCCCTTGGTTCAGGCCACACTTGGATGCATAGGACGCTCGGCCGAAGACCCTTGTCTAAGCCCTGCCCTTGGTTCGCGCCACACTTGGATGCGGAGGACGCTCGGCCGAAGACCCTTGTTCAGGCCGTGCTATGTTGGGAAGGTTATTCCCTGTTGTGTGGCCTGTCACAGCCCGATCGAACACTTTGGGGATTCCCATTCTAGGCTTGGGGTCCTGTCGGAGACACTAACCAGTGGCATCTTGGGGTCTCTCCGGGTGTCGTTCGCGGAATCCCCGTTCGGGAAGCTAGAGTTTACCTTTTGGATAACCATGAACCTGTCAAATAATCAATCATGTTGTCAGGCTCCCCATGTGAAAGTAGGCTGCCAATTCTCTGTATATCAGCTGGGAGCACACGGGTCCCACTCACCACATGGACCTCCTGCTCCTCTCCCCTGTGGTAAGCTCTCTGGCGGTTCTTTCGCGGTAGTGACTACCTTGGTGAAGCTACATTGAGCATCATGGCTCAAGGAGGTTGTCTGGCCGGAGCACGACCTGCCTTCTGTCTAGAATCAGGAACTCTTTGGTTGCTTGTCCCTCTGTTGAAGCCTTGAAAGTTGCTGCTTGTCGTTTCTGCTGTCAAAATTTTTCCTTTTTCGATTGGAAATCAATTCATTTTGGAATCAAAACTTTGTATAATCGAGAACACATGAATCTTTTTGAACTGATTCCCACAGACGACGCCAATGTTGAGTTTAAGTCCAACAGAAACTAATAAATATAGATATAATATGTATGAAATGCCCTATTGCTATGTGGAAACCCGGAAAGTGAGAAAACCATGGAACTTTTTAGGCTAACGTCCAAGCTAGCTCTTTCTTATTAATACTCTCCTCACCATTTACATAGTACAAATATCTTGGAACTCCATTAATGGAGCTTTGTTGCTAAGCTCTAAGAAGAAGCATGGAAGAAGAGTAAGAAACAGAGAAAAGCCAAAAAAGGATCCCTAAGATGGATGCCAAGCTTCCTATTTATTGAAAGGGGGAGGGGGCCTTTCTAACCTAATGGGCTAGAAGGGCCTTAATGGGCCGAAATGGGTCGGGTAGGCCTAAATGGGCCTCGCCGACTGGGCTCCATATCGGAGTGATGCCTTGGGCCTCTGAACAGTATTAGGCCAGGATAATATTCCCCAACAATATGTTTATCGTTGAATTTCATTAAAATTCACCTTATGATGTCAATTTGTCATTCAATTCCGGTTTCAAATAAGAGAATCTAGAACAACAGTGCAAGCAAGTGATATAATGCCCAGGTCGAGGTCCAACGCCTAGGTCGAGATCTCATATATCACCTGCTCGACTCTGCGCTGGCAAGCTCATTTGCTCTGTGTCGAGCCGCTCCAACGAGCCCGAGCCCAACTTCAATTTCAGATATCACGCTAACGATATTAAAAGAGGCCAAATGGAAATGAACCACCTCAGTTCGGCGATGGTTTGACACTTAGTTGTTTCTCGAGCGTTCCAACAAGTGCATATTCTTTTTTTAGGGGTGGGAGCGGTCCGGTCCGGTCCAGTATTTGGCCGAACCCGTATCGTGACTATTTAAACGTTCGGTTCAATTTTAGACCTGAACTCTTTCGGTACGGTTCCATTTTCAAATGGGACGGTACCATGTCATACCAATACCAAATAATGCCACTTTTTCCAAGTTTTTATTTTAAGAGTATTAAAGTTTAGCCATCCTCCAAATATCCACACAATTTATCAATTTTCATACTCCCTCCGTCCCAAATTGACATGCAAAGTCAATATTTTTTGATCAACCAATGTTAAAGTTAAATTCTCTGTATTGATAATTAATTCAAATTTTAACAATTAAAATTTACATATTCATAAACTACATACATTAAAATCTCTTCAAAGTTGCAAGCTCCAAATTAAATATAATTAAAAATTCACATTCTAATTAAGTGAATAAAATGAAACTTTTTGACCAAGAAAAGTTAATTTTGCAAATCAATTTGCGACGGAGGTAGTATTACATAATTAATAAATTTCAAATAAACTACAGTAGTACAAACTCAAATAATTAAATCATACATCAGTCTGATTCCAGGCTTCCTATGAACTAGCAAAAGTGGTGAAAGTGTGAAAACACTAGTCAAAGTAATGGTATAGATGTAAATTTAAATAATTAAATCACCTACTTTGGTCCGGTTCGGTCCGGTACTGATTCTCATTTTATGAGAATCGGTCATGGCATTGTTTAGATATGGTACGGTTCGGTTCGGGACAAAAAATTCGAGATCCATTTCAAACCCCATTTTTCGGTCCGTTATTATATCGGTTCGGTTCGGTACCATGCCAGTTCGGTATTTTTGTCCACGTCTACTTTTTTGTTTACGGTTTGAAATAAGTGTTAGAAAGTAACTAATCATCTAGTAAAACACAATGGTGCCTCATGCCATATGTAATAATGCACGTAGTATCTACTCCCTCCGTCCCTTATAACTTTTCCAACTTTTCTTTTTTGATTGTCCCAAAAATTTTGTCAACTAATAATTCAAATTTGTACCACACAATTTTTACTTTATTATTCTACGTGACGGTTAAACATGACAAACCTTTAAGGGACGGAGGGAGTAGTTTTCAAATCCAATAGTGCCTCATGCCATACGTAATCAATCATCTGGTTTTTCAATACAACAGTGTAATTGTTGGTAGTAAACTTTTTTAAAAGTTTCAAACTTTACTTTTATATGAAATAAAAAATAAAAATATGACAAAAATAAAAAATAGGATTTCATATATTTTTATGGGAAATTCTACGGTGCATCTCTAAATTTCGCATGTACGGTACATTTTCTTACGTAGGCAAATAAAACAATGCCACATGGATGCACCGTAGAACTCCCCCGTAATTATTTACAAGATACAAACGTAACGTAGTATCCGTATCATTTACAGTACTACGTACGTACTCTCTCCGTTCCCAAAAATACTTCCCACTTTCCTTTTTGGGTTGTTCCCAAAAATACTTCCCACTTTCCCATTTTGGATAATTTGTGTGGCTCACATTCATTTTACCTTTTCCTTACACAACCACAACCATACATTTTCACTTTATTCCACTTTCTTAATAAGCGTGACAAGTCAAATCGGGAAGAATTTTTAGGAAAGGAGGGAGTAATTATTACGTAGTACTTGGCTAATGCGATGGTTTCCTCGAAATGAGGCGCATAAAAAACATGATCCGCAGAATTTCAAAGAATGGATAGGAGTCGCCACTCGGGCCGCCGTCTATATATGTAGTCAGGTTGCAGACGGAGTATGGATCGGACACAAAGGAGATCGATGGATCAAACCCGGTGAAAGAAAAGAAGAGAAAAATAATACTCCAATCCTGCCGTAGTAATACTAAGGACGTTAGGTTCGGCCGCCGGGCCTGAAAAGAATTTAAGAAGAAAGATTGTGAGATACATCAGACGTGAGGATGATGGTTGAGAGGTGGAGGACCGCCGGCGCCGCCATTGCTAGCTTCCTCTTCGTTTGGAAGATTGTAAGAAAACATTTGCCGCCGGGGCTGCTTAACGTTGTGAAGAGATGGACGCGGAAGTGGAGTGTGCTTTTCAACCCCTACGTACAAATCTCGATCGACGAGTATATAAAGAAGAACATGGGGCCTCACGCTGCCTATGCGGCGGTGGAGGCTTACCTCAGCTCCATCAAGTCCGTCAAAGAAGTCAACAGACTCAAAGCTCAGATGGTGGGCGGCAGTGAGAACCAGCAGCTCCTCACGTTGAGCATAGATGCGGATGAGAGGGTGGATGACGAGTTCCGCGGGGCGAGCGTAGAGTGGGTTTTGGCCTGCCGAAAACCGCCTCCGCAGCTGAAGGAGTCCGTGTGGCAGCCGCAGGAGAAGAGATGTTACCAGCTCTGGTTCCACAAGAAGTATCGGGACTTGATCGCAGACTCGTATCTGGATCATGTGATAAGAACGGGGGAAGAGTGGCAGGCGCGGTGCCGGAAGCAAATGCTGTTCACAAATGGCGGGCCCGGGAAGGCTCCGTGGAAGCATGTCCCGTTCGATCATCCCGCGAGCTTTGAGAATCTCGCGATGGATACCACGAAAAAGATGAAGCTACTGGAGGACCTCGTGGCATTCAAGGAGGGGAAGGACTTCTACCGGCGGATCGGGAGGGCCTGGAAGCGCGAGTATTTGCTGCACGGCCCTCCCGGAACCGGGAAATCCACTCTCATCGCAGCAATGGCCAACTTGCTTCACTACGACATCTACGACCTCGAGCTGACCTCGGTGAGTGACAACACTCACCTCAAGCAGCTCCTGGCGGAGACGACAGGCAAATCCATCCTCGTGATTGAGGACATTGATTGCTCGCTCGACCTCACCGGAAATAGAATGATGCAGCACAAGTCATCCACCGAGGACTACGCCTCTATTGCCCGCAACAAGAGCAACAATGGCGGTAGTAAAGTGACGTTGTCGGGGTTGCTGAATTTCATAGACGGGTTATGGTCCTCGTGCAGTGAGGAGCGGATAATTGTATTCACTACTAACCACGTAGAGAAGTTAGATCCGGCCCTAACCCGGAGGGGGAGAATGGACAAGCACATCGAGCTGTCTTATTGTACTTTTGAGGGATTCAAAGTGCTAGCGAAGAACTACCTCCAACTCGAAGACCACCCCATGTTTGAATCCATCAAGGAGTTGCTCATGAAGGAGACCAATAAGATCACACCTGCAGATGTTGCTGAGAACCTCATGCTCATGTCATCCTCCTCATGTCCTCATCATGACGCCGCACTCAGGTGCCTCCAAAACTTGGCTCAAGCGCTCCAACAAGCCAACCCAAATGAAAGAATAGATCAACTTATCGCTTAAGTTACATACTGATCGAGTATAATTCAACGAGTAAAGCGCACACCAAAAATAGAATTCATGTTTTAAAATTGGTGAGAACTAGGGTACCAATTTAAAAATGTGATACCCTACCTATCATTCATTTGAGGGAAAAGGACCAAATATGACACTAACGTTATTTAGTAATCTCAGATTGGACAACCAGGTTTAAAATGGACCATTTAAACACATAAGCTGAATATTTGCGTTACATTTGGCCACTCCCTAACCGCGCCGTCCAACTGGCGTTAAGACCCCCATCTTCCCCCAATTAAACGCTACCCAACAACTCCTCTGCAACCCTAATAAAATGAACAACCACTTCCATGGTCGACTGAGCGTATAACAACAAAACACAGAATGGTTGATGGAGGTTCTCGTTCGAGGTGAATGGGAGAAGAGAAATCAACGTCTTTCTCCGTGGAATCAGTGAAGAAACGAAGCAATTTAGATTGTGGAAGTCTTGTTCGTTCCGCCTATTGTAAATGCAGAAACATGAATGGAATGGTTATAGAAGCTAGACTTTGGACCTCATGGTCTGATAAAAATCCAGGGAGGTGATTCTACGGATGTCCATATTATGAGGTATGTCTGCAAAATGATGATGTTGTTTGTATAGCTGACTGGATTTAATATGTGTGCTATGTATTGTAGAAGGAAGGGTGTGGTTTATTTCAATGGCATGATGAGCAATTCACAAACAGGGCGAAAAATGTGATAAATCAGCTGAAATGGGAGAACAAAAGATTAAGGAGTGCAATATGTGAACAAAATGGCACAGGGGGGATGTTTGATGACACTGCAGGGCATGAATTTAATACTTAAAGTTGTAAATTTCAAACTTCAGATCAAAGCTTGCAATGTCATAGTAGGAAGAATGCTGAGGTTATGAAATTGGAAAGGGAAAGGAAGACAATGAGGAAGATCCTAAGTGTACTGTTGTTGTGTGTCATAGGTGCACTGATATGTATGTTAACTTAGATAGAACAATAGAGTAGCTTGTTGTGTGAATGTGTATGGACTGATGTGATGAGTGCCATGTACATATTATAACTTACAAATATGTGAAAAA